TGCTCAGCTAAGAAAATTGACGCTTTTAAAAAAGCGGATTGCGTTATTTGACATTTTTGACAGTAATGGTAATGACTTTTGAACTAAAATATATAACACGTTACACGGTAATTTGCCAGAAAATTCGAATGTTTTTGTAAATTGGCTTTGCTGCTAAAGCCAATGGTGAATGCGAATATATGTTACAATGAAATGAAAAAAATATTATGTTATGGTTTGAATTGTTTTGACATTTGATCCGCTCGTTGTAGCCACGCATTCAGCAGAAACGAAGCCGCTTTATAACAGCGGCCACAACTGCTAAGTATGTGACAGACACCGCCTGAATGTACCCATTGCAAATAAAAATGGCTTCTGCAGACAAACCAACTTAATTGAGTAAACATATACGAACAAATGGCGATATCACATGATTCATAAGGCTGAAGACACAATGACAAATACAAGGTACAAGAGACAGATGCAAAATATCAAAAAATCGAAATTTTGTATCGAGTCATGGCAAGTAAATTGTATCCTGTATCCATTTATTCTTGATTAAAGCATTGATACAGCTGTTATTATATTGTCACGGCTTTGGGTTGCCTGACAGAATTCTTGGGTTCGTTGTTCGTTTCGTTTATTCCAAAAATCAAAGTCCAATTAACACAGCAATAATTTATTCCACTTAACAATACACTCTGACACTAATTACTTTAATAACTAACTCAACAATTAAACTCTTTACAATCACTATTTAAATCGTATCACAGTCGAACTGAAAACTTAACTTACTAACCCAATGCCGGCCTTCTTATATATCCCTAAATCTATTCCTGTAAAATCTAGAATACACACGATAATCTTATTTTCCAGATTAAAGTAGAATAATTCGCTAGATTCTAGTATTTTCGCCATCGAGGATGAGATTCTTGACAGCCTGGCGAACGCCACGCCACATTTCCCTCCTCTTAAGGTTGATCGTCCCGATCAACTTCACGCCCATGATATTTCGTTAACCTGTCCAGATGTACAACTTTCATCTTACTCCTGCCTGGTGTTGCGTTGTACTCGATAAACCAAATCATTGATCCTCTTGATTATTTTGTAGGGTCCTTCCCATGCTGGACAACTTCGGCGATACTCCTTTCTTTCTAGCTGGATTATACAACCACACTAAATCACCTTCTTGAAATCCGGCTGAATTGGCTTTCAGGTCGTATCTGGTCTTCATTCGGTCACTAGCAAGTTGAATATGCTCCCGAGCAAAATCATGGATACCCAGAAGTCGTGCCCTTACTTCGTCGGCATAATCTCGGATTTCCCTTCGTTCTTCTTCAGGTATCCCAAACATCAGATCGCAAGGTAACCTGAGTTTTCTTCCAAAGACGATTCTGGCTGGACTTTCACCTGTTGACTCGTGAACAGCTGCTCTATAAGCCATTAAAAACAGAGGCAAGTAAGTTTCGTCCCTGGTCTGAATGTAAATCTAGTGGCACACCATGACGACTAAAAACTTCGTCCACTAGCACCTGGGCAACAGTGATGGCTTCTTGATTCGGAATAGCGAAAACTTCTGGCCATTTACTGAAGTAATCCATGATAACTAAGATGTATTTGTTACCACGCTCTGACTCTGGGAACGGTCCAGCAACATCTATCGCTATTCTTTCAAATGGGGGACCGACGTTGTACTGTTTCATGGGCCCCCGAGATCTTAGTTTAGGGCCTTTACTGGTAGCACAGATGTCGCATTTTCGGCACCAGCTTTTAACGTCTTCATGGTAGTGAACCCAGTAAAAACGTTCCCGAATTTTGTCCAAAGTCTTGTTAACTCCGAAATCTGCCCCTGAAGTTCCGTCGTGTATCTCTTTCAATACATCTTCCACTCGGCCTTTTGGGATAACGATAACCATTTGGCTCTTAGTGGATTTCCCATCGGCACTTTCCCAAACTCTTTTGAGCAAACCATTTTCTACGGCCAGAGAGTTCCACTGGGCCCACGCGCTTTGTAAATCAAGCTCTTGTTTGACACTTCCCTCCATTCTGGCCTACATTCATCATTTTCTTTAAGATGTAGAATTTGCCCGATGTCCTGGTCTGCCTCCTGATCTTCTCTCATTTGTTTGGTAGTCCATTTGTCATCGACGATCAGGCCCGTTCTTCTTACAAATGGACTAATGTTTTTCTCATGTATATCGATTCTTTGACAATGCTTGCAATCTTCTTTACATGGCCGTCTAGACAGAGCGTCAGCATTTTTATGCAGGTTTCCAGCTCGATGTTTAGGACTAGCGTCTCTGGACCTCCAAAAGCTTTGGGAACGATCCCTAGATGGAGAGGTCATCCTTAGTCTACAATCCCATTGCATGTGTCCAAGCCTTTGACACCGGTAACATTTTACTCGGTTTCTTGTTGTTGGTGTTTGTTTGGAGTCGTTTTCCATTTGTCTAATTTCTAGTACTAGTTTCTTCATCTTTTCCGTGAACTTACTCCTAAGATTCTTGAAGCTACCATCTTCTTTTGACGTTTGTTCATCCTTTGGGTCTTGAATGGTCACTGCTCGTATTCTGGGTGTTGAAGCACCAAAGATTGCTTCCAGTTCTAATGCTCGGACAAGGGCTTCGCTACTTTTCCTGAACTTGGACATTCTTAGGTTTTCCTGGATTTTGGAATCCCGGAGACCATCAATAAACGTAGATACTGCCATCCATTCTTGTATGTCTTCCCCAGCTGCAGGAAACGCCAAACTCACTAGCCTTTTAACTTCTGATTCGAATTCTTGTAAACTCTCGCCGGGTTTTTGAATTCTCGATTTGACTTGAGTTTTGAATACTTCTTGCCTGTAATGGTCTCCGAAGCGCAATTCTAACGTCTGACTTAAATGCTGGTAATTCTGTTGGTAGATTGACGGAATGGACTGAAGAAGATCTAAGGCTGGTCCTCGTAGCGCCACTATCAGTGCTGTAGCTTTTTCTTGGTCGTTCCATCCGTTGATATTTGCAGCAGCTTCAAATTGTCGGATATACATGGTCCAGGATGTAGAACCGTCAAAAGTTGGTGGTTCTATCTTCATACTGGAGAATGCTCCAAGACTAGCTGGATTGATGGACTGTATTTCTAATCTACGCACCTTATCTTCGAGTGCTTGAACTTGGTCCTCAACTTCTTGTTTTAATTGCTGAACATCGGTTTTGACTTCAGCTTTTACTTCCTGAAGGTCGTGTTTTACTTTTTGCACATCGTCTTTAACTTGTTCAATCTTCTGGTCTAGGCTAGCGACAGTTCCTTGTATGGTTTGGAATATCTTCTGCAGTTTTCCAAGGTATTCTTGCCGTTCTTGTTGTCGCCTAGCTTCTTCTTCTTGTTTTTCTTTTTGTCGTCTGGCCTCTTCGTCTTGTTTTTCTTTTTGTCGTCTGGCCTCTTCGTTTTGTTTTTCTTGTTGTCGTTTAGCCTCTTCTTGTTGTCGCCTAGCTTTTTCTTCTTGTTTTTCTTCTTGTTTTTCTTTTTGTCGTCTGGCCTCTTCGTCTTGTTTTTCTTGTTGTCGTCTGGCTTCTTCGTCCTATTTTTCTTGTAGTCGTCTGGCTTCTTCGTCTTGTTTTTCTTGTTGTCGTCTGGCTTCTTCGTCTTGTTTTTCTTGTTGTCGTCTGGTCTCTTGAAGTTCCAACATTTTGCGCAGAAGTTCTTCAACTTTTTGTTCGTCCATTTTTGCTTGTTGTCTTGTGATAGGCATATACAGAACGTTCTAGAATTTCCCTCGAACTTTCTTCAAATATCTTTTCTGGTCTTTGCTCGAAGTTCCAAATACGCCGGTGAACTCACAAATTGGATAACTTGCTTTATTCTAGAATAGAATGTTTTGGAATTTTCTTGAAACTTCTTTTCTAGATGTCGATTGACACAGCAAACACGTCGGTGAAGTCACAATTTCGATATCTCCCTTGGTTTCCAAATAGAATGTTCTAGACATTTCCCGAAACTCCTCGAAAAACCTCTTCTGAATGACGATTGATGTTCTGAATACGTCGGCGAAGTCACAAATTCGATATCTCCCTTAGTTTCCAAATAGAATTTTCTAGAACTCACTCGAAGATTCACTACACAGTCAAAATCGGGTACAGTCACTTCCAGAGTAATTTACACGATCGGTTAAGTCTCTTTTTGTGATTGTCACTGTTTGCACTGCACTAACTGTCCCAGTGTTCAGTTTTTACACTACACTAGTGTCCCCGCACTTCCGCAATTGGATTTCACTCTGCAGTCCTTCATATCCTACTTCTGGCACCAATGTCACGGCTTTGGGTTGCCTGACAGAAATCTTGGGTTCGTTGTTCGTTTCGTTTATTCCAAAAATCAAAGTCCAATTAACACAGCAATAATTTATTCCACTTAACAATACACTCTGACACTAACTACTTTAATAACTAACTCAACAATTAAACTCTTTACAATCACTATTTAAATCGTATCACAGTCGAACTGAAAACTTAACTTACAACCCAATGCCGGCCTTCTTATATATCCCTAAATCTATTCCTGTAAAATCTAGAATACACACGATAATCTTATTTTCCAGATTAAAGTAGAATAATTCGCTAGATTCTAGTATTTTTGCCATCGAGGATGAGATTCTTGACAGCCTGGCGAACGCCACGCCACAATATTTTTGTCTCTTATCACTTGTATCTTGTATTTGTCATTGTGTCTTCAGTCTCACGGATTGCGCTGTTATCAAATGTCCTGCCAGATCGGTAAGTCACGAAATCGAATAGGATATATAAAACATTTACTGCCTGGTGATCGGCACTTGTTTAACAGACGAAAACTTGCACTCAGCAAAAAACCTGCTATAATAGTATAAAGTCCGCAAATATTGCTTGAGGCCTTGAGCTGGCCTCAAAATTGGGCCCGCATTTGTGATAAACTGTTTCCAGGGTGAAAGTACAATGACCTCATTTTATTCTGTATTTTGGGAAAATTTGATGAAAAAATTGTAAATTAAGTACCTCATTTTGTTTCAGTTTGGGACCTTTGGTGAACAAGGTGAAAGAATACCAAGTGGACACAATTGTTGAGGCTCTCTGCACCAATATGGTTTCTGATAATGAACAGTTACGAGACATTTCTAGCATTGGGCTGAAGACAGTGATTGCAGAGCTTCCCCAGACAACCTGTGGTATGTCAGGGACTATATGCAAGCGGATCACTGGTAGATTGATTACAGCTATTGAACGGGTAAGACCTCAATACTTTACAAATAGATAAATTGAATCACTGTTTGGATCTGTGTGTGAACAAACATTCCAGCTGTATTCGAAGGTCGAATTCGAGGGCATGCACTAGTGCCACACTGCTGAACCGTCAAATCCTGTTAAGACCTAATTTTTTGTGATTAATTTACCCCGAAGTTTTGACTGCTTACTTCTTTTCATTATAACTAATTCGAAAATCTGCTTCAAATGTCAATGTCAATATGAACCCGTCAAAGAAGATGAAGCAAAAGCGTTTTGGATTTTTTTGTGATATGTGTTGTAGAGTAATCTGTCAGAAGTCAATTCAAATTATTTATTGATGTTAAAGCAGAGTGTGCTTGCACAAGTCAGTAATACAATGTGCTATAGTCCTGTTTAAAAAGACAAAAGCAAAGATGATACAATGTATGATACAATATTACAAATACAAATATCTACAGCTCCAAATCATAAGACAATACACCTGCTAAAAAAGTTTCAAAAAAATAATGACACATACAACACTTAAAAATCAGGTAATATCACAACTGAAATTCAAAAACTCAGAAATGCTTGACTGATGATACAAAAACTATTGTAGTACTGAAAGCGCTAACAATTAAACAAATACGTTAATTTTATAATTGTAGCGAAAAAAATTTAACAAAAGAATATTATATTACCGAGGATAAAACCAGGTATTTAAGGGCAATCTTGAAAATCAACAATGGAATGGTAATGACAATCTGTCAATGTTACAATATTTACTAATTTGCAGTATAATATTATTGACTGTTGTAACGAATGACGTCATATTCGACGGGTGCTTCGACGTTTGAAATGGTACCTCAAAAGTAAATTTATATTATTTATTATACCTATATTGTTTAAACAAGGTATCTTTTTTTTTTAGTTTTATTCCCCAAAATGCTGGGTGCGGGCCTCTGCGACGAGATTGACGGCGATTTCTTCTATTGCGATCGACGCTTTTCTTGTTGCGCCTACTCCCAGAGTAATGTTTTCAGTACAAGTTTCCATTAGTTATTTGCACCATAGAATGAGGGTAAATCGTAAGTCGTCAATTTTCTTACAAAAAATTCTAGTATAAGTACCTACGTGCCGTAGAATGCTAATTTTCTAAACATGGACTGCAGAAGAATTTTTATTAGTTCCTCTTCTTCAAAGTTCCTTTGGGAAAAGAACAGATCGTTTTTGAATACCAAATCCGTAACATACGTTAGATATTATCATTTTATATTTGCAATCTTCCATACAAAAAATGCCTTCTTTGACTGCTTTCTTGTAAAAAGCTGTTTTGATTTTGAAAAGATTCAAAATAGTCACGGTATTGTTAGTTTTTTGAAATTAAACCACCACCAAGCAGTGGGTAGAATCCGAGGTAGAATCTTTACCATCTGCTTCAAGTGTCTTTGTTTAGTTCAGAGTTGTCAATGGGTACATTCAGGCGGTCCCAGCGGCTAAACTCAGCCACTCAGCAGGGATTTTATTCTCGAAACCGAGGAACAGCGTTTTCATGAGTATGAATGCTCTGTCATTGTCAGTGTCAGTGTTATGGAAATATGGATACAAACGACGAAGACAGAACCTTCGTTCTCATGAGAACGCTGCTCCCCTTCTTCGAGAATAAAGTCCCTGCTGAGTGGCTGAACTTAGCCGCTGGCACCGCCTGAATGTACCCAATGCTAGCATGAGTAAGAAAAACTCTTCTCGGCTAAATGACCTTACCCATTCCAGAATAAAAACGTCTTCAGAAGTTTCAAGTAATAAGTGACTGGCTTTCTCCTCCTCTCCTCTTCCTGTGGTGTTCATTTTAAAACTTACCACCCCTATTATCTCGGAGTTAAAAAAATTCCGAAAAAATCCCTGAAACACGTCAACTTTAATTTGAAGGGGGATGAGTTTTTATGCAAAATGCACCTTGCACCCTTTCAACCCCCCCTAGCCTCCAGAGCCACCCCCTAGAAAATATTAAATGGGAAGGGGGGTCAAGTGATGCATCATTTGGTTCAACATTACATAGCAAATATCGCAAAAACATTACATTTCAGGTACCTATAGGGAAATGTATGCATAAACTATTAAAAATTTTGGGTTATTTGCTTGCTTATTCTCGTCCTCTGTGTTCTGAATACTAGGTCTAATCAAGACGGGCCCTACAGTTTAACGTGTAGCTCCTTTCCCCAGGAGCGCTTCCGAACCACGGTCATCAATTTCACAGGAATTTTAGGCGTGTACCTTTGGGGTACTACCTGCTGTTCCTCTTGGTGTACCGACTGGAGAGTGTACTCCTAGGTCCCCTTTTCCCCCACGGTATATCCATTACCATACGACCTCTAACCGACGTGAATGGGGAGAGGACGAATATACATTTTGCACTCTTTCCTAGGCAGTCACTGAATGTCCGACCGAAAATATTTTTCTATCTGGCCAGAGTTTGTTCGTGGAAAACGAATTTCCAGTTATTAGTATGAGGTACCATCAAAATTATGGCAGTAACAAAGCCTCAAAAGTAGATCGACCGAAATCTGTATAAATCAGAGTTATAACTTTAAATATATGTATTTATTATTATTGACAAATAACTTCAATCCGACATTATCAACATTTTTGACATATCCTATACTGGTATTTGAGTGTATATCATACCATCTCCTCTCCAAACTTTGAAAATCCCAAACCCAATTCTCTTCTTCCGTTTTTCCTCCCAAACAAGGTCGTAAGAAAATCCTATTTCTTTTAAGTTTCCTTCCGCTCGGTGTTTTTAATGTACCTATAACATTTATTTCTTCCCCCTTCTATTATTATTCCAGCTTTATCCCATCTTTTGAAAATAGGGTCTTGTATTCTTACCTTACTTCCAACATAAATTTCAGGTAAATCTTCAGCATTTCTATTTCAATACCTTTTATTATAATTTGTAAATTTTAAAATTTTTGAATCGTATTAATTTTTTATTCTTCTCCACTCTGGACTAAATACTGTAGAATGTGCTGGAACTAAAGAGCGAATGGAAGTAATGGGCTGGGGATGACCATATAAAATGTCTGTAGGTGATTTACCATCAACTTTAGGAGTGCATCTTCTTCTACTCTAAAAGTCCGCAAGCATATTTTTCTTCATCCAAATGTCCCCCTTCTAAACATTTTTTCAATAATGTTTTCATGGCTTTAACAGCTGCGTCTGTATGTCCAATATTAATTTTTGGATAATATGGAGTGGATGAACATCCATTATTATTCCGTTTTTGTAAGAATTGTTCAAATTCTGATGATGCAAGTTGAGGACCATTGATTGTGCTGGAGTGCCAATTAGATCGAAATCGAATTGGCACTCCAGTAGCAGACAAAATTATTCTTAGATCACTTTAAATTTCGCTTGAAAAATGAAAGGCGGTTCACGTAAACCATGTAATGTTTGATGATAACGATGTCCAACTTACGACGGCCATTAAGCCCGAATGAAAACCCCTTATCTATAAACCTGAGCCGCGAAAGCCTCACAAACCATGTAATGTTGGCCAGAACAGCTGAAAATATCAGCTGGAACATCTTGGAATGGTTAATTTGGTAAATGATTCACTATATTGATTGTCAACAAGCAAAGCTTCTTAGCAAAATATTACAGTGTATATGATTGACCAACTTATTGATTGGCGAGTCAGCGATAGACGAATATAAATAGTGGCCGGCTACACACGGATAGGTAGACTCGAACTAGCGCAATTTCCTCTTTTGGGAAAGCTCCTCTGGCCTCAAGTCTCAACCCAGTGCAATCAACTCTTTCGGAAAAGCCCCTGTGGGCGACCTTTACGTCAGCGAATCGTACCTGCGGAAGTAGCTTGGTGTCTTTCAAGCAGCTCCCCTGTGACCCTATAGAAGAGAATACCTCAAATTAAGTAGGTACCAGCAAGTCTCTATCATTCTGCCCCTCCGCTACGCACCCCGTCACGGCAAGAATAAGTTCTGACAATATTATAAGTTTCTTTACATTATGATGTTCTTATTTCTTGACACTTCTGACAATTTTCTATGTAGTTTTTTTTACATCATTTGATATTTGTGGCCAACCTTGTTCAGTTTTTTAACTCTTTTCAGCTGGGCCCAGACTATGTAACACAAAACAAGTTAAATAACAAAGTTTTATGACTTGTTAGAAAATTTTAAATAAAAAAGTTTTAAAACACAGTGTTGTACAACATTTTGCTGGTTATATAGCATGTTTTATGTTAAACTGCCTCCAACTTCTTTATTGCAAATGTACTGCCCGCTATGTTATTAATTTTTTATATTTTACCAGAAATTCTAAGCACATTTCATGTATAATACCTATACCTAACCTCAAGAGTTTTCGAGAAAATCGGGATCAGAATTGTCAAAAAAAAATTATATTTTAGTTTTTACAGGAAACAATTGAAGGTAGGAGGCTCAAACTAAGACCGTATTTTTAACTTCTCGAGCACTGAAGATTCCTATCACAAAACATTCAACTCCGGTTCAATCGAAAGGTTTTGGTCTGATATCCACCTGAATACGAATACAGTATAGGATATGTTATGTTAATGTTAGATTGAAGTTAGCTGTCAATGATAATAAAATATATTTAAAGTTATCTCTGATTTATACATGGCATTGTCGGTCGTTTTATGAACCTACCAAGAATAATAATTATGCCTCGTCGAAAAAAAGAAGACACGGCGGATATCGAAGTTTACATAGAAGATAAGCTAAAATCCATAGGAGATTCGACTCTTCCAAATCAGGGTGAATTCTGCATCGATATCAACAATATACATCCTCAAAATTTCAAATCGATATCGATTTTCATGCCTAAGATAGATCTTGGTAGGTAATCTCGTGGTCACCCGATATGTATATCAATGTGATAGATCCAACGAAACAAGTGACTGCACAAAAGGTGGTGGACTATTGATTACTTCTTAGCTAACAAAAGTATGTTGGCATAGGAATGTCGGTATGATCTTAG